AGATCTGAGAGCAGACCCATCAGTTAATAATGATGACCGGTGACGGCCAAATGATAAGTGTATTTGTTAATGATAGCCGGTGATATGGAATGACCAGATGATAAGGCCATGTGTAACAAATGGTACATATAAAAGGATATTAATGGCTATATATATACATGGGTCGGCCAGTGCGGCTCTGCCGCCGGCGATAGACAATACTAATAAGTGATAGCCGATGAGTGAAATTAATGATACTTTGTATCTGGCCATGTGAAAGTTGATTAAAGTCCTTATCGTGATCGGACATTTTATGGACTAAATTGATCTGAAAACAATGATAAAAATCTCCAAATATTGGAGAAACAAAAAATTGATGTAGTACCAGAAGTTACTACATAGTGGTTAAATGATATCTGGTATATTGGTACTGAAAGCTACCACATTATGATTAAACAAAATGATGAAATGGTATCAGAAACTACCATTGGATAATTGAACAAAATGAGAAAGTGGTACCAAAAGTTATCAGCTATGGGTGATCACACAAAATGATTTCTCAATATATTACATGAGTCTATATCAGATCACATTGAGATTCGAGATCATATAGATATTACAATAAAGTGCCCCAAAAGAAGCACATATGGTAAATAATTATAGTCATGAATCACTACACAGTTCTTGTGGAAAAGCGAAATTGATATTATTATTAATAAGAAACAAGTACAGAAAATTCATATGATGGAAATATGGAGAAGAGGCAGTACATACTCGATAAATACGAAATACACAAATATTAAATAATAGTACCCATAAAAGAAGGGTGCGTCTCGAGAGTATAAAACTCCGTAACTCTGCCACCCATTATTGTTATATGGGTTCATAATGAGAGATCTAAAGGATCAAAAGCTCTTTTTCGCTTAACCCCTTGTGTTTCTACAGACTCTTGAAATGTGATGCATTCTTGAAGCTTTTTGATAAGCTCACCAGACGTATCTGCAGATTTGAATACTTCTCTCGTTGGAGGAGATATAAATGTTTGATATACTCCTTGGTCTAAAAATCCAAGCAAAGCAGAAAAAAAGTTATTAAAATTCAATAGACCTATGGGCTTGTTATGAAGTTTCAATTCTGCCCA